GGTGTAATGGTGAAGTGCTGGGTTGCTAACCAAAAGGTTAGGGGTTAGAAAAAGGGTCTTTGTGGGGAAAAGACCTCACAATCTGCTCCTGTAGTGACCACAGCCTAGAAAATCCAATGGGGCAGCTCAACTTTGTCACATGAGGTTGCTAGAATCATTCCACTCCAACGCACTGAACACCAACAAACAATATATGCAAAGTGACACTCCTGCTGCTGAGCAACTGTCAGTGGGAAGGGGTCCTGTTGAGTAGCACTAAAAAATAATGACTAGGAGGGTCTGAAGATAAGCATCAGTTAGGCAAACAAAACACACACAGTGGGGTCCAGGCAGGGTGGGGCAAAGCTGGACATATTTGTTCAGCACATCAGAATTTACAATATCATTTCATGTGCATTACCTCATCAGAGCCTCTCTGAGGTAGATGTTACACACCTCTGACAGGTGGGAAATTGGAGGGTGAGGACCACACAGCTATTATGCAGCCAAGCAGAACCAGACACTGCTTGGCAACCAATGCCAGTGCTCTCTCAGACTGAGTCATCTATGGCTGACGTAACTACACAATCTCAAGTCAGCGCCTGTAAAGAAGAGGAATTTCTTTTACATTGTTCCAAGGCTAGAAGAAAAAATTCAGAAAACAACTATAAGTGCAGGTCCATCTTTGTCTCTTTCAGCTTCTAATTGCTTCCAGCAATCCTCCCCATTTCTGGGCTCCTGGAAGCTTCTGCTCCATTGGCCTGGTGTCTGTCCTTCAGCCACGTGTGTCTATGGTCCCTCTTTTCTTGTTAGGAGACACCAATCAGAAGGGATTTTTGCTTTGCTCCAACCAATTCCTCTTCAAAAACTAAACAAACCCCACTGCTATTGTGTCAGCACTGACACCCAGAGACTCTCAATAAGGTTTCTGAGGTTATGAATGTTCATAGAACTTTAAGAAACTTCCCATATGTTTTCCAAAAGTGGCTGGTGGATTAGAACTGCTGACCTCTGAGTTAGTAGCCCAATAGGGATTATGCCACCAGGCCTCCTTAATATAAGAAAAATAAGTCCCATTTCCAAACACAATCATATTCATAGGCATGAAGGTTAGGACTTCAACATACCTTTGGGGCAGGGGACATTATTCAACCCTCCACTTGGCAGCTGAACAAAGCTGTCTTTGATTTTCATTTTTCCTGCCTCAGCTAGCTGTCTGGACTTCTTCATAGCTATTTGAAGGAGGAAGATTAACCAAAGTAACTGTCAAAGGAAGTTGTGGCCAAAGGAACAGGGGTGGGTCAGGGGAAAGTACCAGAAACTCACTCCTTTCTAGCTCAGAGATTTTTTTAAATTAAAATTACAAATTCCTAGAATGTATCTATAGTAGCAATTACTGGCATTTGTGAAAAACTTTTTATGTTGCTCACAGTGTTTTATGAAAATAAATTCATGTTATTCTCACAATAACTATATGATTTGAAGTTCTGTGATCCCCATTGTACAGATAGGGAAGCTGAGGTCTAGAGCGCTGAGGTCATTTTTCCAAAGTCAAACAGCTGACAGGTGTTTGAAACCAGAATTTGAACCAAAGCAGTTAGGACCCACATCTCATACGCTTCGCTATTGCATTGTGCTGGCTCTTCCAGTTCTCCATTTGACCAGTAGTTTACTCTGACTGTGTTTTTATAATGTGCTAAACACTGGTGGTGTGGTCTGACAGGAGTTGCACTGCTAACACAAAGGCCCTGCCTCTCCGGCAGTTCAAATTCACGAATGGTTCCACAGGAGAAAAATGGGCAATCTCTTCCCGTGTGATGATCAGCTTCAGAAATTCAGCGGAAGGTCAGCTAAGAGTTGATTCTGACTCCACAGCAGACAGCAATGGGATTGAGAAAGCACTGTCATAAGGACTTCATGGATATTAGTTACTTAATGCCTTCTTAGGTTGTTAGGTCTTTCTTCTTAGTCTTGGTCTAGATGTTCCACTGAAACCCATTCTCCACTGGTGATGCCGCAGCTGCTGGAAACACTGGTAGTAGCATGTTGTTTTATAGCATCCTAGTAGCATACAAGCCACCACAGTACGCCAAACTGCAGGCAGGTGGCAATCTAATTTTGAAAATTAGTCAATGAAAAATTGTCCTTACGAATCACTGCCAAAAAAAAAAGTGCTCTAGATGTGCTCTCCATTGGGCTGAAGATGAGCCCCCCAAATAGGAAGGCACTCAAAACACCTAGGGGCTACAATAATGAACTTAAACACACTGACAATTGTGAAGGTAGGGCAGGACTGAGCTGCATTTCTTTCTGCTACACATGTGGTCATTAGGAGTCAGAGCTGACTCTACAAAACCAATAACAGCAACATATTTCCTGAGTTCTGGAGAAGGGTCTTTCACAGAAAGACCCTTCTCCAGTCCATAGCAATTCTTAACACAGTCCTCTTCCAGAAATACCCTTCTTTGGCCCTTTCTAAAGCTGCAAGAGAGTCTAGGCCAGACTCTGGTGTCCAGAGAAGGAAGGTATTGGGCTCTCTGGTGGCCTCCTAGGTTGTGCTGTCAATTCAAAAACAAGCACTTTGATCTCCCAGCTGCTCCTCAGGAGAAAGGTGAAGGCTCCTCCCATGCAATTTACAGGCTCTGAAAACCTGCTGCTGGAAGGTCAGCTAGAAGTTGGTTCCAACTTGACAGCATGAGTTGTCGTTGCAAGAAGAGAATTCTATCTTCTCTGCCCTCCTACTTCAAATCTTGCTAGATCTAGATCAATCCCCTTCTAAGTTCTCAGTTGTGTCATCTCCTGTCTCTGCCCTGGCCTTCCCAAACCACCCAGGGAGAGAAGACCAAGCCATGCAGGCTCTCTGAAGAAAGCCTCGTCACTGTGTGGCTGAGCTAAGAGGCTGCAGGAGGTCCTCCTGGGTTGGAGGAATCAGATCCTTGTTTGCAGAGCCCGGCTGAGTGAACATTAAGTGAGGCATGACATCAAATAAGGGTCACTTCACGGTTTTCAGTCTAGTGGAGCCAAGGAGAGGTGCTTTTTTTTAGATGCCTCTGGAGGATTTGCAGAAGAGCCAAGCAACCTCTTCACTGAACCTTCCCCTCCCTAATTCTTTCCTCCTTGAGACATTCCCCAACTTTCTGAGGCCTGTTCTCTGTCTCCTCTCATCAGGAGCCCCACTGAGGACTTCCCAAACTTCATTTTCCTTTTTTATTTCCTTTTCACTCTCACGAATTGCCATGTTTACTTAGTTGCTTACCAATTGCTTGGATTCCCTGTGATTTTTTTTTTTTTTTTTGAAGTGGTTTATCAGGTCTTTTTTCCTGAGGCACTTCTGAATGGCCTTTTGGTTTATCAGCTAAATGTTTTAACTGTCTGCCCTGCCCAGGGACTCAACCAATGTTAAGCAAACTCAGCACAATGTGTTGATACTGAATTGGAACCAGCTCATAACTGACCCTTCAGCGGGTTTTCAGAGGCTGTAAGTTGCATGGGAGGAGATTGTCCATCTTCCTGCCTTGGTGGATTTGAATGGCCAGAGAGGCTCGACCTTTTGATTAGCAGTGTATCTGCCTCCTAACAGGCCTCAGGAATCCTCTCAGCCTGTATTGTTGATAATACCATCGAGTTGGAATCGATTAATAACTGACCCTCCGGCAAGGTTTCAGAGGCAGTAACTCCCATGGGAGAAGATTGCCCAGTTTCTTCCTCCTGAGCAGCTAGAGAATTCAAACTGCACATTTTTGGGTTGGCAGCACAATACCTTATCATCAAGCCACCAGAGCTGCCTCAGCCTATATTAGGTGCTCAATATTCCTTAAAGGAAGGAATTAGAGAGTTCTCTATAGACAAAGGTGTTGATACTACTGCTAGAAGCTTCTTTATAACATTGAACCCTTGCCAAAGGATAATTTTCCCCCCATTCATGTCTCCCAGTCTCCTAAACAAATCTACACCTGTTTGGAGGAGCTTGTGGTTGTTGGCTCTGGCAAAATGACTCTGGCTCCCACTGCCTTCCCCCTCAGTCTCCCTGTTTTGCACGGAGTTACGGTTGTCCCTGTGAACATCTCCTTGGTAAATGGAAAACCACAAACAGTTGGAGTTCTCACTGGCGGTGGGGGTTGTCACTGAAAAGAAGGGATTCTTTGTTGCGTCTCAGTTGGGGGATATGTAGGTCACTTGGAAGAGTCCCCAAAAGTTTAAACAGCTAAGAAAATAAAACTGTGTACTAGGCAGCCCTCTAAAATCTCGGGATAGGACAGAGCCTACAAAGGCAAAGCTTGAACATTCAAGCATTTTCTGCCGACTGGCAAGAAAGAGCCACATGGTAGATGCTGGCATACAAAGCTGGTAAAGATTCAAGAGCAGTAGGTTTCTGGCAAGGCAATTGGTATACGGATGACTAATTCTTTTTTTATGGTTGGTGGAGAGTTGTTCTTGGGCCCAAGAAGACTTGTTTAACCAGGACATTGAGAGACAAAATTTGCCTGGCTTCTTTAGGATATATTCCATAGATTCAATAAGTGGTCACTGCTTCTCTGTTCTTCCTAGGATGAGCCAAATCATGCCCCTGTAGTTCTCTGGCTCCAGGGAGGGCCAGGCAGTTCTTCGTTGTTTGGTCTGTTTGTGGAACATGGACCTTATGTTGTCACAAGTAAACTGACCCGTAAGTATTCTCTGGGCTACATAGTTCCTATGGGGAATTATTTAAGTGAACTGTATATCTGCTCCAGAAATAATTCAGAGTAACCATTTCACTACTTGGAATAGCTTCCCAGTTCCAGATTATGAAAACATAAATCTCTGGCCATGTCTCTCTGAGGAGGAGCACTAGGGTGAATGTCCTGATGGAGCTGCTTTAGCCCTTGAAATTTAGGGGAAAGGTTCTAAGCTGTTTTCTAGGCATCTGTTGCTGACTTAAACACTTGTGACTTACGGACACAGTTGGTATTTATTACCATTTGGGAGCGCCCTCTTTCGTGGGACTGCTGGGTGGAATTATATCTATAATCATTCACACAAAATGAGCACTGCAATGGTCCAGTGACTTGGAAGCAAGATACTTCCAAGTGTTGGGTTGGAGTCAATAGATCAACAGAGACAGAGCAATCCAGGTTTACCTTCACCTCATTTTTTTTTTTTTTACATTGTGGAGACTTTCTGTTTCCTCGGTCGGAATTTGGAGTGGGAAGCAGTGTAGAACCCAGTATGAAAACTCTGATGCCAGTTTTGCTGAGGTGGCTGTTCTGGCCAACTTTGGTGAGGAGGAAGAAAATTCAAGAAGACTGGATGTGAAAGCAAAACAGAGCGTTTTACCTGCTATGTAGTCCATTCCAACCCACACTGCCTCCAGGCATTACAGGGTAGACCTGTGAACACCACAGGGTTTCCTTGCCTGCGCTGTGTACTGAAGCAGATAGCCAGGCCTTTCGTTAGTGACATGGGTGGGTGGATTTGAACCATCAACTTTTAGTTTTATAGTTGAGAGCAAAATGCATTACGCAAGGACCGACTGTGTAGGACAGAGGTTTTTGCACAGGTGAGTGGTGACTTTTCCCTTGCACAAGGTTTGCTACCCGGCTTCAGGGCTTCAGCTTAAATGTAGAAAGCCTCTAGGTTAGGGAAGAAGGGGCAGAGAAAAAGTCATAGTGCCTAGTTCCCGCTGTGAGAGTGTTAAGCCATACCACAAAAGACACGAAAGGTTTGATTAGCAGATAGCTCGTCCTCTTGGTTTTATGAATGATGTGGACCCACACTTCTTCTCAATTTTAACAGTGCATGCCAGAGACTACCCTTGGACCAGAAAATTTTCTATGCTTTACATCGATAACCCAGTGAGTACATGGTAACCCTATGCTATGTCAATGGTGGTTACTCTTTTCATTAAGTACATTAAAACAGGAGGCAGTCATTAGAACAGAGCAAGGGAACACTGCATGGTTCAAAATTGGGAAGGGTGTACGCCAGGGATGCATCCTATCTCCATACCTTTCAACCTATATGCAGAACAGATTATCCGGGAGGCTGGGCTCTATGAGGAGAAATGTGGGGTCAGGATTGGTGGACGATGTATCAACAATCTGCGTTATGCAGATGACACAACCCTGCTCGCTGAAACTGAGGAGGACCTGAAGCACCTGCTGCAGAGTGTCAAGGACTGCAGCGTACAATATGGATTGAGGCTCAATGTCAAGAAGACAAAGATTCTCACCACTGGACCAATCGGCAGCATCAGGATGGATGGTGAAGAGATTGAGATTGTACACAGCTTTAGTTTGCTTGGCTCCATAGTCAACAGTCTTGGCACCAGCAGCCAGGAAATTAAAAGGCGCATTGCCATGGGAAAGTCTGCTGTTAGGGACCTCTCCAAAGTGCTGAAGAGCAGTGGTGTCTCTCTGGAGACTAAGGTGCGTCTGATACAGGCCATGGTCTTCGCAATCACCTGTTATGCATCAGAGAGTTGGACAATGACCAAGGAGGATAGAAGGAGAACTGATGCCTTTGAGCTGTGGTGCTGGAGAAGAGTACTGAGAATACCATGGACTGCTAGGAAAACAAATAGATTTGTCCTGGAGAGGGTTAAACTGGGTGGCTCCTTGGAGGCAAGGATTCTGAGGCTCCGTCTAACTTACTTTGGACATGTAGTGAGGAGAGACCGGTTCTTGGAGAGGGACATCATGCTTGGGAGGGTGGAGGGACGGCGCAGGAGAGGAAGGCCCTCTATGAGGTGGATTGATTCAGTGACTGGGATAATTGGGATGGGAGTGTCAGAGACAGTGCGATTGGCACAGGACAGAGCAGAGTTTAGGGCTGTTGTACATAGGATCGCTATGAGTCGCAGGCGACTCGACGGCACATAACAACAACAACAACACATTAAAACAAGATGAAGAAGCCCCTGGTGGTGAAGTCCAATAGGGAGCTGCTCTGCTAACCAAGGGTGGCACGCACCTCTCTGGTGGGCATCTGAGGGAGAAGAGTGAGCACTCGCCTCCTGTGTGATTTACAGCCTCCAAAAACCTGCTGGCGCTCAGCTGGCAGTTGGTTCTGACTCCATGACAATGAGCTTGAGTTGAAAAAGAGCTTTGAGGGTCTTATAAAAATAGAATTTAATCTGCAAAATGAAAACATCTTGAGATTTAGTTATTCTGCTAGTGTGTATAACCTCTGTTGAGTTTGAGGACTGTATTGCTTGGCTTTTCTTCTTTTCTCGAGCTTAATCTTAGAAAAAGTTCTACTCATAGAGTCAAGCCGGGATAAGGGCTCAATTTCTTCCCACCACTGATATGAATTCCTCATCTTGGGAATTACATATATTCTGAACTTAGAATCTTTAAAAGATTTCTAGATATAATGTCAAATCTGGCCTTATCCACTTATCACAGCAAGCAAAATGCCTCCGGTGAATAAAAAAGAGGAATTCTCTTTGTGAAGTTTCTCCCAAAACCACCTCCTAAAACTATAAAATAGGGAAATAACTTTTTGGAGGCAAGCTTCTGTGCATTTGGAATATGTTTACCCTTAACTAAGTCCCCTTACTTCCAACTTACTTCAAAACAAAATCAAATAAAATTTGAGTTAAATGATCTGCCACTTTGGTTGTCTGGGGAAGAACAGAAACTAGTGATTACCTGGTTAGTAGTACATTTCCTGGAAAAGTTAGCCAGACAATATAACTAGCTTCCCCCACCTCTTGATTTGCTTCTCAGTCAACTGTAAACTTGCTGGGTTAGGAAATACTGGTTTAACAAGAGTTGTATCTGGGTTTTTTTTTCCCTCAAGGCCTTTTGTTTATAGGGTCACTATGAGTTGTGCCCTACTCGAAAGCAATCAATAACAGCTGAAAGTAAAATAGTTTCATGGTCATATTTCATCCAAATAAAAGAAGAAACAAGCATACATATCTTTTATCACTGCTCTAATAAATTCGTGGGATAGGGAGTTGGGGCAAAGTGTGAGAAAAGGAATCAGGGATCCTGTGGAGGCTGATTCAGTACAGTATACAATTCGGGGGTGGGGGGAGGGCACAACACTTCATGATGTGGGACCACACAGGGCACAGCCAGGGACCAGGTAACCACTTACTGGCATTATAGGAGAGGGCTTGCGTAGGGCAAGCAGGATGGAGTTAGCTAGGTTTTGCAGGCTTCCTGGGGACTGGACCCAGGGGCTGAAGGTTGCCCTTGTTGTTGGTTACTCAGCCCAGGGGTTCAGGAGCATGAAACCCTAAGTGGTGTGGTTGCACAGTGAATTTAATCAGCTAATGAAGTACTGGAATGGACAGGCCTCAAAACTAGTCAAAACAGTCTTAAAAAATCATAGCAATCTTCAGCCTAACAGGTCCCCTTTTGGCAGGACTGAGTAAGGCACTCCACAAGTTTCAGAGGAGAAAATTTTGGTAAATGGCATCCCCTCCAGCCAGCAGATGACAGGATCCCCACTGAGGAAGCAGGATAGCACAGCCCTGGGATTTGGGGAAAACAGACAGACATAGTCTTCTCGGGTGAAGGTCACCATGTGCACACAGGAGAGGGCAGAAGTCTGAGGTCAGAGATCAGAGGCTCCTTGGCCTGAGAAGGTTGCTTCCTTCCAGGATGAGTCTGAGGGAATTTAAGTATGTGCATCTCTGTGCTTGTTGTTTTTGTTGATATGTTCAGTCAAGTCTGAACTGACCCATAGCTGACCCTCCAGTGGATTTTCAGAAGAATTCTCACAGGAGGAAATTGCTCATCCTTTGCTCATTCTTCGCTGGCAGAACAGCTGGTGAATTCGAACTGTGAACCTTTGAGATTACAATGCAGCTCCTTACTACTGGGCCACCAATGCTCCCTTCTCTGTGTTTAGACGGGCTGATTTACGTCCCCACAGGTTGGCACAGGCTTCAGCTTTACCGAAGATGCCCTAGGATATGCCGTCAATGAAGATGATGTGGCGAGCAATCTGTACAGGTAAAATGCTTCTTCAGACCAAATATTCCTTTATTTTAGTAGAAAAATATCATCCAGTTGTAGCATTATTACTCACGGATTCTTGCAGTCCAATGCCTAACATTTGTCCAAGGATATTTCTACATGAGGAACAAAGACACCCACAATTGTTTATTTTCCACTATGTTACCATCTGCATTATTAAATAGAATCGAGAAGTATGAAAGGCCAGCACAGAAAGTAAGAAGAGGAGCTGAAATGTTAAGTAGGATTTTAATTGGTGCCCTTTAAGAAACAATGGAAGCAGATCAACATTTTTCAGTTCAGGATTATTTTCAAACCTTTTAACCAGATGCCTGGGACTTTTCTGCTCGCCTTCCAACTTTATATTTAACTTTGCATTTTGCCAGGAGACATATTTTCAGATTTGTTTGTTTGTTTTCTTTCCCAGGATTCTTCTTTTTGAGGTCTTTTAGCTTTTAAAAAAAATGAGGAAAAATGTAAAAGTTTAGGCCTGTTGAAACAGCATACATGTAATTGTTTCCTTTTATCCTACTTTCATTATAACTATTTTTAGAACTTTTTAAAGTAACTGACCTTTCTAATTTGGTCAGAAGTTTCCAGTGGGGAAATTACTACTAGAAACAAAGTCCTCAAGTATTTTGGGGCACCAGGGCACCAGCTGGGACACTGTAGTAATTTACTAAAAGGAATCCTAGTGGTCAGGAAGGGTTAACTTCTTACCAGGACAAACAGGGGACACCACACACTCATTCTGGGGTTACCTGGTCAGGCGATGCAATCCCAAAAGTGAAGGCGAATCTAATAGGCTTCTGAGCTGCTTGATCTCTAGCAAAATCTGTTTATTCTTTCCCTCAAAGGCACATGGTTCAAGAGAGAGACAAGAGAAACTTCTGCTGTTTGTCCTATCATCATCTCTCTCCCCTCTGCTCACCCACAAAAGAACATGATTGGTGCTTTTCCACATGCCCCATTTTTTAAATATTTTTAATTTTATTTCCTGGGGAGAAGGTAGTCCTGGGACTCCTGTTTTCTCCTCCCTAGTGTACAGGCTCCTCTGAGCATACTAGCAGACCCTCTCAGGGGTCCACTGCCTCTCCCCTCCTCTCCCACCTCTTCACAGACGTAACTGCAGTGACTCCCCACACGGTGCTCTGGCGCGTACGCCTTTCTCATTTAACACTGTGTACTCTCATTCTCTGGAGCCGGAACCACGGCCTCCCCCACAATCCTCTCCTGGCTTCAATCCAAACAAGCTCAGTTGCTTAACCAGCAAACACCCTGAGGGCGGAGGGTCTGTATTAAAGAAATGCATCAACCTCAATCTGAGCCAGAGCTTTGCAACGCCCACACGCCTCTCCTTCCCCTCCCCCCAGAGACAGTCCGCTTCCCCTTGACCCTCCGAGTGGATATTTACTGCTGACATATGGCCCATCTCCTCTTGCATGACATGTAAAGGGAACCTATTTCAAAGCATCCATTGTTTATAGCTGTTTTAGTTCTTTTTGCTTCAGGCTCTTAGAGCTGGAAAATAGCTAATCAAGGGTAGTGCAGAAAACTGATTTCAGCTGTTTGCTTTATAGTTTACAATTATTTATTTCCCTTTGTGACTACATGCTTTTCTCCAGCTGTCTAGATGGGTGTCTGGCATAAGAAGGACGCTTTGAAACCTGTAAAGGGGCTACTGCAGGTTTAAGAAGATCTTTCTTTTTTTTTTTTATAACTCTCTTTTTTTGTTTTAAAATCTCATTTCTTTTGACTATTAGTAATGCATGGCTGCAGAGGCATGACAATATGTTTGAGGTGTGGGTGTGTGTGCTTCCCTTTGTCTGTCAAGGATATGTTTTTGATCTATTGTCCCTTTCTGGTTTAAGGGAGAAAAATGACTCCCTTTGATTTGGGTAACTATTAGCTGGTATCACCCTTCTCGCACCACCATTTATATCGTGGTAGCGTGCTGCATGCTAGACATTTTCCTTCATGCTGAAGATGGAGCAGTAAACCAGCAGCCCAACACAGTCTCTGTTCCCCATGTGCTTACGATCTAGTAGCTCCCCTAAAGTTAGTTTCTTAATGGCCAAATAGAAATGATACTATTATTGCTGTAAAGAGAAGGGAGGGTGATGCAAGGCAGCCAAGTCTGACCTCCACTAGCTCCACAAGAAGGAACAGTCCCCATCCACAACACCCACAGGACAAGACCAATTCCCAGGAGGTCAGACAAGCCCCCCCCACGTTCCTGCACTTACTTCTATCAGTTCTGACTGTTCTCCCATTGAGTCCATTAATCCATGGCAGGGGCCACACAGAACTCATGATCATACCCACAGTTATGGGGTTTATGTGCCCTCAACTCGACTGTGACTCATAACAACCCTGTAATAGGTTACAATTTAAGGAAATAGGATGTGATTTTTCAGTCAGCACAGCTAGGCAAGCATGCGCTCAGGCCCGTATATACCCAGCCTCATGGCTTTGGGCCAGAGTTACCAAGCTCTCTTTATCCTGCTAATTATGGCGTCTTCCCCTAAGCTCTCTAGCAAGCTGGGTGAAGGCCCCTGGCTTTCGCTCTTTGGGGTAATAGTTCTAGGTCAGCTCTATGGGGTAGTTCTTCTAGACCGTTTTTGTCTCTGGCTGTCTCTGGTTCTATGGGGTAGTCGTTCTAGGTCAGCTCTGGCTCAGACTCTATGTTGTTGTTCTTCTGGTCAGTTCTGTCCCTGGTTCTGTGGGGTAGACTTTCTAGGCCAGTTCTGGCTCTGACTCTCTGGGGTATTTCTTCTAGATCAGCTCTTTCTCTGACTCTGTGGGGTAGTTGTTCTAGGTCGGCTCGGGCTCTGGCTCTCTGGGATAGTCATTCTAGGTTAGTTCTGGCTCTGGCTCTGTGGGGTGGTTCTTCTAGGTCAGCTCTGATTCGGGCTCTGTAGGGTAGTCATTCTAGGTCACTGTGTCTCATGTCAGTCTCCAGCTCTCCAGCTGCTGCTCTCGTCTAAGTCCCGGTCAAAATGGCATGGGAATATCTGGTCCACAATGGAAGCTTGCTGTGTTCCCTGCTGTTTCTTTCTTACTCGTAATGAGATTTCCATTATCTGCTTCTAAACCTGCTCAATTTAAACCTAGAGGGATGGCAAAATTTATCAATCCCTTCATTCATAGTCTATACACTTTATTTGCATGTTTCTACCCAAAAGGTATCATTTGCCTCATTTATATCATTGTCATAGTCTCACCAAAAGAACAAACAATATGTCTACAAACAAATATGTCTTAGGGAAAGTGCAACCACAGGTGCTCCTTAGGTCAAAGATGGTGAAGCTTCCTCTCACATACATTGGGCATGTTGTTCCAGTCCTTGCAAGAGGACAACTTGCTGAAAAAGGCAGAGGGTCAGGGAAAGAGGAAGACCTCCAACAAGATGGATTGGCACAGTGAGTGCGACAAGCCTATCAGAGATGGTGAGGATGGCACTTGTAGGACAAGGTTCACATCTATTTTTCATAGGGTCACTATGAATCATAGGCAACTTGATGACACTTAACAACAACAACCCAGCCTTATGGGGTGAGCCAAAGCCAATGAGTGAGGGAAGCTTAAACTACAGCTGTGCAATGGGAGGTAACATGTATTGCTGAACCTAACATCTTACCAACAACACCTTAACAGTGTGATTTAGGAACCCATTTCACATACAGAAACATTGCATGATATGTGAGTGGCTGAAAGGATCATAAATCAGCCAAACTAAGTGTAGAATGAACACAGAGGATAACTCCTCCCATTTGCTTCAACAGAGCAGAACTTCCAAGATTCTTATCGCTGAGCCTGTTTCAGCCAGTGACTGAGCATTTACTTGCCTTGGTTTGCTTTTGTTGCTTTAGAGCTTACATTATTGCTTACATTATTTTTAACTATGAATCTTCTGAACATGTTTGAATAACTAAAGTCCTGGCCTCATCAGAGCAAGCCAATTTCTAGTGCTCTTTGGGTCTTTAGCGAATTCACATTTCCCCCTTCTTTCTCTGATCTACTGTAATCTAGGACCCTTTTTTAAAAATTGTCTGAGGGAAAATTTCTCTCCTAGCAGTTGTCCCTTGCAATTTTTCTTTCTATTCTGCCACCAAAAAGCATTTGCTAAAATTCTATCTCTTCGATAAGGCCATGTCACAATGCTAGCAAGGTTGCAAATGGAATCATCTGAAGAGAATACTTTGTGTACCATGCATTCCTTATACACACATAAATGGAGTACACGCACACACAAACACAAACACGCATACTTTCATTGATGCATGTATCACATATTTTCACTATTCTTCCAAATTTAAACCTCTACATGGGCATGATTTCAATTCTATTTTTAAGCAAACTCTCCCATCCAATAGGGATATTTCTTGACTAAAACACAGTTAAATTAATAGCACAAATTTAATTTGCTAAATACATCTTTTTAATTTTCCACTCTCCAGTGAACCTCTCTTTAAAGAAACACCAACAGAGGCTGTCTGCTTCTACCAACCAATTTCTTGTTCTGATTTTACTGTGAAATTAAAGCTCGGTGATATTTTCCTCAAGCGGGGATTTGCCATGGAAATCTCAGTTACAGAATCCCTGGGTTTTCAAGCTCACAGCAGCCTGAGAGATTTTTAACTCCAGCTAGATTTGCCAGGCAAAATAGAGATTGCCTAAGTAGATTTGAAATTTAGATAAATAATGAGTAATTGTGTTCATGAAAGGATGTCCCTTGTAGTAATTTTTATGTAATCTCAAAAAACCCCTTAGACCTATTGTTGCTTCTGACTCATTTGTGACATATTTAGACTTAAAAAAAATTGTTTATCTAAAATTCAAATTTAATTGGGCAAATTGTATTTTTATTCTCTAAATCCCACAGCCCTAGCAAATCTCCAGCAATTACTTCAAGAATATAATCTATAGTTACTCCAAGAATATAATCTTTACAGTAAAACATTCTATTTAGTATTTACTATGTGATAGCTCTGGTGGTGGAGTTCATAGGGAATTTCCATACTAACTCCAATACCAATTCTTCTCTGGCAGTTTAAATCCACCAGTGGCTCCGTAGGAGAAAGATGGGCAGTCCTCTCCTGTGAGTTTACAAACGTGGAATCCCAAGGAAGGGTCAGCCATGTGCTGGTTCCAAATCCATAGCAGTTAGAGTGACTAAATTATCTAGTGTCATTCTAAGAAACAGGAAGCAAAGAGCTTGAATCTGAAAGTGCAGGAGGGACAGGCGGAGAAGGAGCTCTTATTTTTAACTCCGTTTTTAGCGTCCATTTGTTGCCAGCCCAAACATGGAAGCTACATAATAGGGAAGCTAAATGTAGCCTCCCAGATTTAGTTGCTACAAAGGCCACTATAAACAATAAATATATAAAGACACTGAAACTTCAAGGCGGTGTGTCATGGTGAATTCTCGTGGAGCACTTGATTATAATGACTGAGTTTTGTTTTTCTGTTACCCTTGAACTCTCTCTCCTCCTCCCAGTTCTGGACTGAATGGTCCTCCATGAAGTTTTGTTCCTCAGCAGAAAGCTTCTGGGTTCTTGCAGTCTGGATCAAAGTACTCGTACTTGCAGAGTTTTGTGGACTTTGATTTTACTTCTGGGAAGATTTCTTAAAAAATACAGAATTATTCAAACACTCGAATATACTGAGTCATTGTATTGAAAGGAATTGGCAGATACGGAAGGATTTAATGAAATAACATTTGAGCAAGAGCCTATGGTGATGAAGGAAGAAGTTCAAGCTGCTTTGAAGGAAATAGCAAAAAATAAGGCCCCAGGAATAGATGGTATACCAATTGACATATTTCAGCTAACAGATGCTGCCCTGGATGTGCTCACCAAGTTGTGCCAAGAAATCTGGAGAACAACCACTTGGCCAACTGACTGGAAGAGATGTATATTTGTTCCCATTCCAAAGAAAGGTGACCCAACTGAGTGCGAAAACTACAGAACAATATCATTGATTTCACATGCAAGCAAGATTCTACTGAAGATTATCCAAAAACGACTGGAACAGCATATCAGCAGAGAACTGCCAGACATTCAGACTGAGTTTAGAAGGGGTCATGGTACTAGGGATATTGTAGCTGATGTTAGATGGATCTTAACTGAAAGCAGGGAATACCAGAGGGATGTATATCTGTGTTTCATTGATTATGCAAAGGCGTTTGACTGTGTGGATCATAACAAACTGTGGCTGACTCTGAGAAGAATGGGAATCCCAGAACATTTAATCGTGCTAAGTGAAACCTATACTTGGACCAAGAGGCAGTCATCAGAACAGAGCAGGGTAACATCTCATGGTTCAAAATTGGGAAGGGTGTACGCCAGGGATGTGTCCTATCTCCATACCTTTTCAACCTGTATGCAGAGCAGATTATCAGAGAGGCTGGGCCCTGTGAGGAGAAGTGTGGCGTCAGGATTGGTGGAAGATCTATTAACAATCTGGGTTATGCAGATGACACAACCCTGCTTGCTGAAACTGAGGAGGACCTCATGCACTTGCTGCAGAGGGTCAAGGACTGCAGCCTTCAGTATGGACTGAGGCTCAATGTCAAGAAGACAAAGATTCTCACCACTGGACCAATCGGCAGCATCAGGATGGATGGCAAAGAGATTGAGATTGTTCACAGCTTCAATTTGCTCAGCTCCACGGTCAACACTCTTGCTTGGCACCAGCAGCCAGGAAATCAAAAAACATATTGCAATGGGAAAGTCTGCTGTTAGGGACCTCTCTAAAGTACTCAAGAGCAGCGGTGTCTCTCTGGAGACTAAGGTGCGTCTGATACAGGCCATGGTCTTCGCTATCACTTGTTATGCGTCAGAGAGTTGGACAATGACTGGGGAGAACAGAAGGAGAATTGATGCCTTTGAGCTGTGGTGCTGGAGAAGAGTATTGAATGTACCATGGACTGCCAAGAAAACAAACAGATTCATCCTGGAGAGGGTTAAACCAGGCTACTCCTTGGAGGCAAGGATTCTGGGGCTTTGTCTGACGTACTTTGGACATGTTGTAAGGAGAGACAGGTCCTTGGAGAGGGACATCATGCTTGGGAGGGTGGAGGGATGGTGCAGGAGGGGAAGAACCTCTATGAGGTGGATTGATTCAGTGACTGGGCTAATCTGGATGGGTGTGTCAGAGGCAGTGCGATTGGCACAGGATAGAGCAGAGTTTAGGGCTGTTGTACATAGGGTCGCAATAAGTCGAGGTGACTCGATGGCACATAACAACAACAACAACATTATGTGATACTTCCTTCTGTCTATTTTAAATCTATTTCAGTAGAGTTCATGGAAGTGCCTGTTGACATTTTAAAAATAAACCTGATTCTTGGAACCTAAAGATATGTGTACACTTAATTTCATATCATTTCCTTCTTTCCTTTTTGACTATATTCATTGGACAGTTTTTCTGCTCTTCTGTTATAAACATACTGACATCCTGGGAGCTTCAAATGTTCAGTGGCCCCTGCTGAGTGAAGCTGGTAAGCAACTAAGGTTCCTGTTATCTTATGAAAACTTGGATTAATGGAATCCTGAGGTTTGAAAACTCTTCCCAAGAGTTGCTAGGCAAAGGGTGAGGCCTGTATCACTGTATTATTCATGGGACTCTTGAGAGTTTATTGATCCAAATTGGTAACTTAGAGATTTGAAAATTTAGCCAAAGTTTTGGTCAGTGACAATACTGTGGGAGATGCAGGAAGTGTAAATGGACTCTTGATGCTGTCCAAGAGTGTGACACTAAAATGACCCTAGGGTCCCAAGTAGTAGCAGTAGATAGGATCCCCCTGCCTGCTGATGAAGGGTGATGCATCAGTTTTCTTGTCCATGGTGTGCCCCCATCATTTATAGCTCTAGATGACACCAGCCCTTGTAGCATCACTGGTCCAGATAACTTTTTGTCTCAACATCACACAGGAAACACACAAGTGTTTTCTAATCATCTACAGAGTTTCAAGTGTTATCCACAGAAGATTGGAAAAAAATACCCTGTTGGATTTATAGTTTGGGGTGCCATAAATTTGGAACCTATTGTCAAAGGTTTAGATCTGATAGTGTAGCATGAAGCCATTCTGATACCATATAATATACTTTGTTGTCTTTCACTGTACAGTGCACTGATTCAGTTTTTCCAGTTGTTTCCTGACTATAAGAACAATAGCTTTTATGCCACTGGAGAGGTGAGTTCAAATTTTATTTTTGTTTGGGCTTCAAAAATTAGGTTTACAATATATTTCCTTGGCACTTGTAGCTTATTCATTTAACATGTACATGCGTATGAATGTTGTTGTTGTTGAGTACTGTCAAGTCAAAACCGACCCACAGCTGACCTTCTAGCGGGTTTTCAGAGGCAGTAAATTGCACAAGAGGAGATTGCCCATCCTTCTCCCTTGGAGCAACTGGTGGATTCAAACTGCATGCCTTCGGAATTGTAGCACAACTTCTTACCACTAGGCCACTAGAGCTCCCAAATACTATTATACTATTTATAATAGTATAATTTAAAATAGTGTATTTATAATTTATACAAATAGTATATTTATAATGTATGCAAAATAGACTATGTATAATTTTAGTGTGCATATGCATACAATATTTATTATTCTAACACACATTAAAATTCTTCAATTATTCTTGAGCAATGTTTGGTTGGGTTTTTTTTTTTAAGTTCAGGACTCAGTAAATGGTTCATGTTTTACAAAGATTTATCATATCTCAGTCTCTTGCCTTTTATTATTGTAGTCATTTATGATGATGATTTTTAATTGGTCAGAAGTCCCTTGTAGAATGTTCTGTACCTCTATTTGCCTGATTTCCACACCCTATGCTTTAATGCTTAGATTGGATAAGAATGTTCTAGTAAGAATAGTAAATAGATAATATTGCTTATTTTCTATGACATCACATCAGGAGAAATAGAATATATTTTGTCCAGTATTTATGATGCCAAACTTGATCACTTGGGCAGAGTGGTATTCATTAAATTTTGCCTTAGTAAAGGTACCATTTTCTCACTTTAACTCATATATAGTCTGAAACCATGTGGTTATCCTATTGTCCCTAAACTATGTCACTCAATAGTTTTAACACTCATAGCTCAACCTGTGGTAATCAGCTACTATCTTGTTGTTAGGTGCCATTTAGTTGATTCTAACCCATGATAGAGACCCTATGAATACAGATGGAAACTTTGTCTGATTCTGTATAACATATAGTGTTATGTATTTATGGAGCTCCAGTGGTCTAGTGGTTAGGAGCTATGCTGGCAACCCAAAATTACATGGTTTGAATCCACCAGCTGCTCTGCAGGAGAAGGATGAGTAATCAACTACTGCGGGATTTACTTCTGAAAACCTACTGGAGAATCAGCTCTGGGTCAGTTGTGAGAACAACATATATTTACTATAAATTGCAAATTATATTATATTATATTATATCATATTACATTATATTGTAAATAGTTGATTTTTTTTTAGTCCACCAGCTACTCCATGGGAGAAGGATAGACAATTTCTTCTTGTGTGATTTGCTGTCTCTGAAACCCACTAGAGGATCAGCTGTGGGTTGATTCTGACTCAAAGGCACACAACAACAACTACACACACACACACACGCGCGCGCGCACACACACACACACACTTTGAGGACTAATGACAACAAACCCCAAGTCCATTGCTGTTAATTATAACTTGTCTCGACCACTGTAAGACAAAGTAGAACTGATTCAAAGGTTTTCCAAACCTGTAAATCTTTATAGAAGCAGACCACATATTTTTCTTAAATGGAACAGCTAATAGGTTCAAATAACAAATCTTTCTGTTACGAGATGAATGTTTAACCACTATACCACCAGAGATACTATTAGGGGCTTATACATAATGTTGTTGTTGTTGTTCTGTGTTATCAAGTTGACTACGACTCATAGTGACCCCATGCAAAATAGCTCGGAACCCTGATCTCTCCTGAGCCAACCTCACTGTCTTGGACACACCACCGTTATTTTACCCTAGTTATTGTGCCAATCCATCTCATCCAGAGTAGTCTTCTCCAGAGCTGTCCCTCCACCATTCTGAACATGATGTCCTTTTACAAGGAATGGTCCCTCCTGGCCATGTACCCAAAGTATATGAGATGGAGTTTCAAAATCCTTGCCTCCAAGTAGAAACTTGGTTTCACACTCTCTAGGATAGACCTATTAGCTCTCTTGGCAGTCCATGATATATTCAATACTCTTTTCTAGCACCACAAGTAAGAGGCAATGATTCTTCTGTCATCTTTGGTCATTATCCATCTCTCTGATGCATAGCAAGTAATTGCGAAGACCATGGTCTGGATCAAGTGCATATAAGTCTCTAGGCTGACATCCTTGTTCTGAGATCACTGACAGCAGATTTCTCTATTGCAATTCATTTTTTTTTTAATTTCATGACTACTGGCGCCAAGAGTGTTGACTGTGGAGCCAAGCTGTGATTGTTAACAACCTCAATCTCTTCTCCATCTATCATGGTGCTGCCAACTGTCCCAGTGGTAAGAATATTTGTCTTCTTGATGTTGAGCTTCAATCCATATTGCAGACTACAACCTTTGAGATTCTGCAGCAAATGCTTCTGTTCTCAGTTTCAGCAAGTAAGATTGTGTCATTTGCATAATATAGCTTGTTGATGAGTCTTCTTCCAATGCTATCACATTCCTCCTCATGAAGTCCAGCGTCTCAAATGATATGCTCTTCATATAGGTTGAAGAGGTATAGAGACAGGACACATCCCTGATGCACTCCTTTTCTGATTTTGAACCATGTAATGTTTCCTTGCTCTGTTCTGTTGACTGCCTTCTGGTCCAAATATAGGTTTCACCTGAATACAAACAAGTGTTCTGGGATCCCCATTCTTCTCCAGATTAGCCACAATTAGTTTTTATATACACAGTCAAATACCTTTTCATAGTCAATGAAATGCAGATACACATTTCTTTGGTACTCTATGCTTTTTGTCAAGATCCATCTGGTATTGGCAATTATGTCCCTCCTGTCACAGCCTCTTCTACACCCAGCTTATGTTTCTGGTAATTCTCTGCTGATGTACTATTCTAGTCGCTTTTGGGTAATCTTCAGCAGGATTTTGTGTATGTGTGTGATATTAGTGATATCATTTGATAATTTCCACACTGTTAAATCCTCTCTTTTTTTTTTTTGGAATGGAAAGAAATAATCTTTTCCAGACAGTTGGCTAACTAGTTGTCCTCCAACTAGTTCTACTTTGGCAAAGCCTGGTGAGCACTATCAGGGCCAACTGGAATTTCATCAGTTCCTTGGGCCTTGTTTTTTGTCAATTCTTTCAGAGCAGCTTGAACTTCCTCCCTTATCAAGATTACTTCATGAACATAAGTTGCTTCATGCAATTCTTCTGTGTCAAACAGTTCAGTGGCCTTGTGTAGCCTTCCATCTTTTTTTGATCCTTCTTGGATCATTGAATATTCTGCCCATAATCCTTAAATACTGTAACTCAAGGCTTGAATTTGTTCTTCCGTTCCTTCAGCTTAAGAAATCCTGAACGAGTTTGACCCTTTTGATTTTCAGACTCTAACTCTTTGGGCATTATATTAAAATGCTTTGTCTTCCTGGGCTGCCCTTTGAAATCTTTTGTTTAGCTCCTTAACTTCCTGATTTCTTCTCTTTGCTTTGGCTCCTCCACTCTCCAGTGCAATATTCAGAATCTCTTCCAATACCCTTCTCAGTCTTTTCTTTATCCTTTGTCTTTGTAATGATCTTTTGCATTCTTCATGGATAATATTCTTGATATCCTTCCACAGCTCATCTGGCTTTTGCTTATTAGTGTTCAAGGCCTCAAATTTGTTCCTGAGATGGTCTTTGAATTCAGGTGGGATAGATTCAAGGTCAAATTTTGATTATTGGTGATTTGGTTTACTCTTCTTTAGCTTCTGTTTGAACTTGTATAGGAGTAGTTAACAGTCTGTTCCACAATCAGCACCTGGGCTAGTTTTCATGGTTAATATTTAGCTTCTCCAATGATTATTTTACACAGATGTAGTCACTCTGATTCCTGTACAGGCCATCAAGTAAGGGGGATATATCTATATATCTATATCTGTATATCTATATATCTGTGTATCTATAGATCTATATCTATATCTATCTATATATATATATATAACTATACAGTCATCATTTAGGTTTCTTATTAAAAGTATTTGCAATGAACATGTCATTGACTATACAAGACTCCATTATTTTGTCTCCAGCCTTTTCTCTGTCACCAAACCTATGTTTTCCAACTACTGATCCTTCTTCTCCATTCCCAACTTTTGCATTCTAGTCACCCATTATTATTAGTGCATGCTGGTTGCATGTTCAACTGATTTTGACTGCAAAAGTTGGTAGAAATCTTCTATTTCCTCCTCTCTGACTCTGGTTGTTGGTGCATATATTTGAAAGATGGTGGTATTTACAACTTTCCTTGTATGGTTATCAGAGACAATAAGATTGGCACAGGATAGAGTAGCGTTCAGAGCTGTTGTTATGAGTTGAAAGTGACTCGATGACATATAACACCACCACCACCACCACCACCACCACAATATTGTATTTCAAGATGAATCTGGAAATGATCTTTTTTTTTTAATATGAATGCAAGCCCAATTGCCCCTACCTTTTCATTTCTGGCTTAGTATGTCAGCATTTTTGTGTTTCTTTTCTCTCTTAACAATATCTAATTTACCTAGATTCATGTTTCTCATATTCCACATCCCAATAACTAGTGTCTGCTTGCAACTGTTCCTCCTCCTTTGTGTTTGACAATAGGAAGACTCAGCCTCAGGTGCCATATCTGCTAGTCTGATAGTGATAAATAAATAAGTATGTTATTTAATATCAAATAATGATCCATGTCATGAAGAAACATGAAATAGGGGAAAGGTTGAAGAATGATGGAAGATTATAAATAAAATGGTCAGAGAAGGCTTCTCTCAAAAGAAGACAGAGAGCAGAACCCTGAATGATGTATTGCAGTGATTGGTGAAGTATGTGGAAAAAAGAGATTTCCTAGGAGATGGAATAGCAAGTGCAAAGACTTCAAGCTTGAGATAGGCTTGCTGTGCTCAAGAAAGAGCTTGGGGCCATCATAGAAAGAGCTGACACATGAGAGGTACGCAATCCTGATAGGGA